ACGAAGAGTAACTTTATCAACCGGTTCTTCTCGAACTTCAAGCCTTTTACCATACCAGCATTGTTCCCCTAAACAAAGTTGCTCGAAAAGAATGTCTGCGTTGTATAGAGACCTCTTCGATGCTCTACTTTCTGGTTATTGTTAGAAAGCCGGCTCGGTATGGGTAATTGGCTTCTTCGGGACGCATAGCTGCTGTAATTAATTCTTGTTGGTCTTAGTGATGGGCTTCGAAAGATTGATCTATATGATTTTTCGGTCTCTTTCGCTGATTCTCGATATATAGAATAAGCCATGCTTATACATGTTCTTTGAAGATGCCCGATTCTCCCACAATTAAAGCATCTCCTGCTTCCGTTTTGGCTGTTTCGTTGCATATTTCGTAGAATATTTAAGATTTGGGGAATAGCATTAGTATTGGCCTCCTCACTTTTCTGGGATTTCATTTCCCTAACTTTTGCGCGGGAAGATCTGGATAGGAGTTTTACTGCTTCATATTCCTGGGCTGCAATCAGTTCTTCCCTCAGCGTCTTGTGATGTTGTAGACGTAGGACTTGCTGCATTTCCGCATCTTGTAATCCATCAATGAATGCCTCTATTCCGATTTGTTCTTGGAAATCTTTGGGCGCCTGTGGATAGGCCAGATGAATCAATCTTCTTATGTCGGCCCCGAATTCCTGTAGACTCTCATTATGTTTCTGACTACGAATTTTTAGCTGGCTTTGAAATACCCGTTTTAAATGCTGCTGGCCATATCTTGTCTCCAAAGCTTGGACGAGAGATGAATAACTGGGTTCTTCTTGAGAAAGTAACTGTAACACGGTTGCTGCTTGTCCTTGCAGCGACACTATCAATGCAACCACCATCTCCGTTTCAGCCCAGCCATTGGCTCTAGCTGCAGCTTCAAATTGAAGGCGATACGGTTCCCATGTTGTCTGCCCGTCAAACGTGGGTGGCTTAATGATCTTGCTAGTATGTATTTCTGAAATTGGGTGTTGAATATGGCTTGGTTCGATTACAGATGAGGACGAGGTAGTGTTTTCAGCTTCTCTGTTGCTTATCGAAGCTAGGCTACGAATTCTTCTTTCTAACTCAACTAATTTAGTTCTAATTTTAGTAAAATTAAAATCTGGCAACCCTGAACAATGAAGTTTATCTAAACCGACATTGAGCGGGGTATGTACAATTCATACCAATTTTTAAAGTAAGTTCAACCATTTACCGAGTTCACCTGAACCTAGGTTTTAGCTTGCTTTGTACAATCGGGCCTAACGTTAGTTACATGACATGTGCCTTTTTTTCCATCAAATTGTTGGAATCGCTGTTTCACCGATGCGACAGTAGAGATGATAGCACCCCTCCGTGTGTACATCACTTTGCAACCAAACATTTTATATTCACATCTTGTTACACTTATGTTTACTGCCCGCTTTGAGAGCATGTTACAGGGTGTATCAACGATGCGTGGGTGAACGATAGCTGCTTCCCTATATGAGATAGGAAAAAATGCTTCAAATAAAAGTTGTAGAGGGCATTAAAAGCTACGTTCCAAAAATAACTACCAATATACATAAATGTATGAGTTATCGAAGTAATGTTTTTTTAAAGGAAACACCCTATATATTTTTACTCGATTAAATTTCTTTGGAAGAGTGTTTCTCAAAAATATAGGGTTGTATGGGTTTATACTGGGTGGTTAGGAATTTATGGTGGGATTTAGGTAACAAAATGGGTTTATTCAACACCAAATATCTCTAAATCAATAATTTGGAATTAAATTTTTTTTCTGCCGAATATTCTCGAAAATAGTGTATTTTCATTTCCTATTCATAATTTTACCGAATGGCGCTTTTCCCATACAGGGGCAACCAAAACTCGGGACCACTTTTTTCTCAGTTTTTTCAAATGGAACACCCTGTAAATGAGGCCATACCAGGATAGCCCATACCATGAGCTTTCAGAAAATGTAGGGGTTGCCTACTTGATTTTTATCGGAAATGTATCTAATTCTTAAGGAAAGTATAAAAAAGTTATAAAAGCAATAACTATTTATTTATTTCATTCGAAAAAGCATAAATTCACATCAAATGTTCGAATAATCTCCCATTTTGAGCTATGCACAAATGAAGTCTATCTACATTTGCTCTTCTAACTTCAATTAAAGTTGATTTTGTAATAGAGTGAAAAACTTCTCTAATTCTATTCTTCATGTCTTTGGTAAATCTCGGAGAAAATCTCTGTAAATTTCCCCATTCAGTGGACCATCAAAGAAATGTGGTCCTATGACCTGATCCCCAATTATGCCCCCCAAACATTTATCGACCATCTATTTTGGTAATCAATTTCTCTGACCCAATGTGGATTCTCTGTTGAGTAGTAGTGGCAATTGTGTCTATTTACTATTCCATTACTTTTAAATGTTGACTCGTCACTAAACAAAATGTATTTTAGAAAATTTGGTTCCTCGCGAATGAAATTCAATATATTTTCGCAATAGTGAACTCTGGTGTCATAATCCCTTTCATAAAGTTCTTGATTTAATTCAATTCGGTATGGATGAAGTTTATTTTTTATCAATATTTTGTTCACGGAAGTGTGACTTATATCCAGCTCTCTTGCAATTTCCCTCGTACTAACATGAGGATTCTCTACTGTTGAAAGGATCACTGCTAATTCATTTTCTTCATTTGTTGCAATTTTGTTTACTACTTGCCTTTTATCGTGCTTGACACTGCCTGTTTCGTCAAATCTTTCTTTAACCCTCCGAAAAGTCTCTGGTCGTATAGACCTTGAATCAGGGTATCGAACTGCATACATTCTACTGGCTAATAAATAATTTCTATCATACTCACCCAAAATTTATCATTTCTTCGGTGGATAATTTCATTTTGAAGCGAAAAATTATTAAATTTCAACTATAAATTATTCTTCTCCTCGATAATTAAATGTCAAATTCCTATAATGTTCAAATGTTTCAAGGGTGATTTGATTTTTCGCTGTATTACAAGATTAACTTTAATGAAAGTTCGAAGAGCAATTGTAGATATGATTAATTCGGGCATAGCTTAAAATGTGAGATTGTTTAAACATTTGCTGTGAATATACGCTTTTTAAAATAATTGTTCGTTTATAATAAATAAATAGTTATTGCTTTTATAACTTTTTTATACTTTCCTTAAGAATTAGATACATTTCCGATAAAAATCAAGTAGGCAAACCCTACATTTTCTGAAAGCTAATGGTATGGGCTATCCTGGTATGGCCTCATTTACAGGGTGTTCCATTTGAAAAAACTGAGAAAAAAGTGGTCCCGAGTTTTGGTTGCCCCTGTATGGGAAAAGCGCCATTCGGTAAAATTATGAATATGAATATGAATATGAATAAAATTATGTGAGGCTTTGGTACTTTCACATTTAAATTTTGCCGATGTAGTATATGGTCCAGCACTGCTAAAATGTGATTTGCGAAGACTCCAATTAGTACAGAACTCTTGTGTGCGTTTGATTTCTGGTTTAAAAAGACGCGACCATATCTCTGAAGCTTTAGCTGAGTTAGGGTGGCTAAATATTGAAAAACGAATCTTGTTACATTGTTTTATATTTTATCATAAATTAATTATCTATAAAGAACCATCGTATCTTTTTAACAAAATACAATTTAGATCAGACGTACACCATATCAATGTACGTTTTCGATCTTGCTTGACGCCGCCTATTCACTCTACTTCCCTCTTCGAATCATCCTTTTCGTATAATATAACCAGGCTATACAACAGGTTTCCGAGACATCTTCTTACTTGCTCATTGAGCACTATAAAAAATAAAATAAAAAACTTGCTATTTACTAATGAACTAACATTCTAGACTTGTGCTTTATTTTCGTTTTCTATTTATTATATTATTATTTCTGCGTCATTAACATGGATTAACTTGAATTTCGCTTGTTTTTATCTAGCTTATATTATTATCATTATTATAATTATTTTTAATTAAGTAGTTTAATTAAATAGGTTGAGTGGAAGAGAGGACTTACCCTTGCTTGCAAGGATTAGACCTAACTCTGCCTTTTGGCAAATATTGTATTTTGCTTATCTGTATGTTTTTTTTTTCTCTGCCAATAAAAGCTTTTATTATTATTATTATTATTATTATTACTATTTTCGAGAATATTCGGCAGAAAAAAAAATGTATTCCAAATTATTGATTTAGAGACATTTGATGTTGAATAAACCCATTTTGTTACCTAAGTCCCACCATAAATTCCTAACCACCCAGTATAAACCCATACAACTCTATATTTTTGAGAAACACTCTTCCAAAGAAATTTAATCGAGTAAAAATATATAGGGTGTTTCCTTTAAAAAAACATTACTTCGATAACTCATACATTTATGTATATTGGTAGTTATTTTTGGAACGTATCTTTTAATGCCCTCTACAACTTTTATTTGAAGCATTTTTTCCTATCTCATATAGAGAAGCAGCTATCGTTCACCCACGCATCGTTGATACACCCTGTATGTAACATTTCTGTTGGTTAGTGAGTGTGTTAACTTGGGAAAAAGGTTGTCTTATTAAAAACACTTTGGAATTAAGAAATTAATTAACTCCCACTCCCCACAAATCAGCTGTCTGTTGTCACATCTAATCGGAAAACCCATAAATTGAAACTGATGGATTGGTATTGGACTAATTGCAGCAACGTTGGATTAAAAGACAACATGTAAGTTTATCATTGATAGATTGATAAAAAAAAGTGAGGAAGATTACGCACTGATTCCAACGTTGCTGCTACAACAGTTGAATAAAAGACACACGGATGTATTTCAAAATGTGCGGCGACTGCAGCGTGCTTAAATCTTGTCTAATTTACGTGTTTGTTGTTCATTAGTGCCATTTCTATAGCTTACAGTTTACTTACTACCACTGGCGCCGTGCTTTAACCAAAACAGTCGATTTTTTTTTTATTATTACTTCTTATTGTAACACTATTTATTTTTTTAGCACCATTCAATGTACTTAGTAATATAATTACTAAAAAGTCAAAACAAGTTCGTCTTTTACCGTTGCCAATAATTCCTATCAGTGTGAGAAAGGCTAACAAATTAACATGGAATGATGCAAGTTACGTGAAGGCAATGGTGAGTTTTAAGACTGATTCTTTTTTATTCACAAAATAAATAAAAAAAAGACTAGTTACTGAGTTACAAAAACGTTCATTAATCTAATGTAGGTATCTATTAAACTCTGACATTTATACTGAGTAATTTAAGTTTATGTCATTCAGACAAATAAATAACATTTAACAGAGCGCCATTTTTTAATAAACGGACGCTTTTGCAAGTAGCTGTTATGGACTTAAAAATGATTTTTCAATATTTATAAGTAGGTCATTTAAAATAATAGGTATGTTTCAACAACGATCACAAATCAGTCACTGACACCAGAATTCTGAAAAGTTGATTATTGGGACCTCAAATTTATCTACTGCGCAGAATTCTGGTGTTAGTGACTGGTTTCTGATCAGACCTAAAATATATTGTATTTAAATTAAATTCAAAGACTTATATTTAGTTAGGGGTGAGGGTAGAAATAAGTAAATGGTTGAGTTTGAGTACGAAGGTGTAATCAAAGGTCCTTTATTTAAGTCCAATCAAATAGACCTTTAAATTAAAATTTTTGAAGAAATACAGGAATTTTTGATATAAGTCACTTTAGAGAATTTGAAAACGATAAAAAAAAAAATTTGTTTTTCAGGCACCGGCAAATGTCAAAAAACAAGAAAATAAAGGGTTTTTTTGAGGTTATTTAAAAACGGTAGGTGCTATAAAAAAAGTTTTTAATAAAAATTGTAAAGCATAAAGTTTTACATAAAAATGATGACATTTTTTGATATTATTAAAACTGACAGAGTTATGGTGGTTAGAAATTAGGAAGAGATATATATGCCTTGGAAAAATCATAGCGAGCTGAACATTTAATGATTTTGTAGTTTCTTTTTATTATTTACTCAGAAAATTATAAATTTCTTTTAGGAATTTTTTTTTGTTTTTTTAAGTTATGACAATTTTAATTTAGAAATTTTATTTATTTTTATTTATATTTATTTTTATTTATTTTTATTTATTTATAATTATTTTTATTTATTTTTATTTATTTTTATTTATTTTTATTTATTTTTATTTATTTTTATTTATTTTTATTTATTTTTATTTATTTTTATTTATTTTTATTTATTTTTATTTATTTTTATTTATTTTTATTTATTTTTATTTATTTTTATTTATTTTTATTTATTTTTATTTATTTTTATTTATTTTTATTTATTTTTATTTATTTTTATTTATTTTTATTTATTTTTATTTATTTTTATTTATTTTTATTTATTTTTATTTATTTTTATTTATTTTTATTTATTTTTATTTATTTTTATTTATTTTTATTTATTTTTATTTATTTTTATTTATTTTTATTTATTTTTATTTATTTTTATTTATTTTTATTTATTTTTATTTATTTTTATTTATTTTTATTTATTTTTATTTATTTTTATTTATTTATATTTATTTTTATTTATTTTTATTTATTTTTATTTATTTTTATTTATTTTTATTTATTTTTATTTATTTTTATTTATTTTTATTTATTTTTATTTATTTTTATTTATTTTTATTTATTTTTATTTATTTTTATTTATTTTTATTTATTTTTATTTATTTTTATTTATTTTTATTTATTTTTAATTTTTATTTATTTTTGTTTAATTTTATTTATATATTTATTTTTTATTTCATTTTTTTTATTTTCATTTTTTTTTATTTTTTATTTAGTTCTTTTTCATTTGTTTTTATTTTTATTTATTTAATGAAACTTCAAGTGTTGCGATGTCGTTTCTATTAGTTCACTGATCATACTTTTCATGTCAGTAAAGCTAATAAGTTTACTTCAAAATTTATCATATAAATTCGTATAATTAATTGAAAATTTCTAAATTAAAATTGTCATAACTTAAAAAAACAAAAAAAAAAATTTTTTCTTAAAAGATATTTATAATTTTCTGAGTAAATAATAAAAAGAAACTACAAAATCATTGAATTTTTAGCTCGCTATGATTTTTCCAAGTCATATAAATCTCCTCTTAATTTCTAACCACCCTAACTCTGTCTGTTTTAATAATATCAAAAAATGTTAAATGTCATTTTCATGTAAAACTTTATGCTTTACAATTTTTAGTAAACACTTTTTTTTATAGCACCTACCGTTTTTAAATAACCCCAAAAAACACTTTATTTTCTTGTTTTTTGACATTTGCCGGTGCCTGAAAAACAAAATTTTTTTACATATCGTTTTCAAATACTCTAAAGTGATTTATATCAAAAATTCCTGTATTTCCTCCAAAATTTTGATTGAAAGGTCTATTTAATTGGACTAATTTTTCACATAGTCAATTATTTATTGGCGACCGGTTTTGAAGTCATTACTTCATCATCAGGCACTCCTAAATGGAAAGTCATGAATTATATGTATTGAGAGGTGACAATAATTTAATACAAAAATAAAAATTGTACAAAAATTAAATTAAACAAAGAACAAAAGGGGGAGGTTAATAATAACTTATCATGACATCAATTACGGATAAACTACGTAATTTTAACGTACAAAAAGTAAAAAAGTTACTGAATATATAGGGTGAGTCATGAAGAACCTTACAGATTTCTACCATATGTAGAGTCCCTTAAGGGGTATATCATATGAGCATTAAAAAGTGGCAACTCCCCTTCGTTATTAATATGAATTTTGACCAAACTTTATATGGCCGTAAAATATACAAGGATTACTAGATTTCTTTAATTTTTTGGTGGAGCTTTACACTGGTGTCTATCATTTAATTCATATACTCAAAAGTTAAAATCTGGGGATCTTGGAGGCCATGAAAATTCCAGGATTGGCTTAGAAAAAATTAATCTCAAGACGATTCATATCAAAAAGTTCGCCCTGTATAAGATTTTTTTAAATTATAATAAGATATTTTTAAAGTACATAGATAGACAATCAAAACGGTGTATGTGACATTTTTGTCACATTTTCTTTAATTTTTTTATTAAGTTTTGATTTTGAGCAAAACTGAAAAATCAACTTAAGGGGTCACATTATAATGTTATAACTCCAGGCCTAGTTATAAATTTTTAATTAATTTTTAAACAAAAATCACCCTGTACATTTTTGGAGACTCAAATAAATTAAACATAAGTTCATATGTATTTATTAGAAATATTTTATTTCGTTTAAATTTCATCAACAAACAATAAATAAATTTTAACGAATTAGAATAACGAACAACTAAGAAATTAAAAAAAAACTAATACTACATACATAGAATAATGATAACATGTATACTAGAAAATAAAATCATGGTAATAAATTAACAATTACAGTAGTTGTTCGAAATGAAACCCTCCAGCTCCTACGCATTTTTGTTGCCGAATCGTTAAGTGCCTTATTGATTTACGGATAGTCAAGGGATCGTTTCTAATAACATTAGAGCAAAGGATAATTCTATCAATTAATTGTTGTCGGTCATTAATATTTTGTGAATAAACTACTTCTTTCAATCGTCCCCAAATATAATAATCTACGGGGTTAAAATCTAGGGATCTTGGAGGCCATGAAATAGGACCTGCACGTCCTATCCATCTGTTGCCAAAAACATTATTTAGATGGTTTCTTACCGCAACTAAAAAATGAGGCGATGCTCCATCATGTTGGAAATACATCCCTCGGATACCTACGTTGGCAAGTAAGTTAGGCAAAGTATTTTGCAAAAAGTCTAAGTAAACTTGTCCTCTTAAAGGACCATCAAAAAAGTGAGGTCCTATAAATTGGTTATTTATCACACCAATCCACACGTTCACGGAAAACCTTAACTGAGACCGAAAATCTCGAACAGCATGGGGATTGTCTACTGCCCACACATGTAAATTACGGGAATTATTTATCCCATCCCTTGTAAACTGTGCTTCATCTGTAAACAATGTTCTATACAGTACTGGTCTATGATTTGCAATCCACCTACAAAATTCCAACCTATGGATTTCATCTCCAGGGTGTAGCCGCTGAACTAATTTAATATATGGGTGTAAATTATTTTTTCGTAAGACTCTAATCACTTTTGATTATGTAACATAAAGTTGTCGACTTACTTTCCTGGTGTTTATTGTGGGGTTCGCAATAACAGCATCAAGAATATTATCTTCCTGCTCATGATCTACATTTCGTTCTGTATTTGCTTTAGGGAATGTGCCATATTCTCGCAAATAATTAAAAACTGATGCAAATGTTGAATGACAGGGAACTCGACGACCAGGAAATCTTCTATGATATTCTCTTGCTGCAACTCTGCCATTCCCATTACAGAATCCGTACATAAAAATGATATCTGCATATTCTGCATTTGAAAACTTATGGGGCATTTTGAATAACAACACCAACAACAAAAATTCTAACACTATTGTAAAATAGATAAAACAAAGCGAAATATTATTTTACACGTATAAATAATGGGTGCAAATCACAACCTACCTTGATACATAGGTACCTACTATGTATTTATAATAAAAATAAAACCACATAATATCTTAGTTGCAAGAATAAAATGTGCAGTTTTTATTAGAGGTTAATAAATAGCATTTATAATTATTAATTAATAAGTGTGAATTTATTGTTCGTTATTGTTATTCGCTACAATTTATTTATTGATTATTGAAATGTTTAATTTAGTTGAGTAGTTTCTATAGTCTACAAAAATAGGCCGATTTCTATTTAAAATTTAAAAATGAACTAATCCGGATCTGGAAATTGTCGAAAATGAATTTAACGATCTAGTAAGCTCACTAAAGGCTTATGTTTGGCTCGTTTAGTTCAAATGCATACAATTAACAATGTTTTCTTTATGTTATAACATAATTTATGTGACCCTTAAGGTGATTTTTCAGTTTTACCCAAAATCGAACCTTAATAAAAAAAAGGTGACAAAAATGACACATACACAGTTTTGATTGTCTATCTATGTACTTTAAAAATATCTTATTATAATTTAAAAAAATCTTATACAGGGCGAACTTTTTGATATGAATCGTCGAGA